TGACTTACTATCACCTCTGAAATACATCAGTTTTTGAAAATGCATTTATCCTGTGTTTGAAAGACAATAACCAGGAATTCAAAATGTTGAAATGAATATTTGGGTTGTAAGGAAGAACAAACAAGCAATTCTTACTGAAAAGAACACAATGCTGCTGATTCGGTACTGCCCCTGAGAGGTACTTCCATCTGTCTGCTTGCTCCATTGTACATGAGCATCTCTTTTTATAGGATTTGCACATGTTCCAGGTTATCTGTTTCCGATGGGCTTCAATTGGCTTTGTTTATTGACATGCTCTGCAGTTAGCTGCCTCTCTACCTTTTGATTGCTGCTTTGCACTTTAGAATGCCATTGACAGAAAGCACTTCAGAGCTAATAGTTTGTTGGGTAGATGTTGTGTCGGAATAAGATTAGCAGATGGAGTGACCAACACAAGTACCCTCCCTGAGCTATTATTCTTTCTAGTCTTCTACCATCCCTTCAGGAAGTAAATGCTTTGAGACTCAGCAGACAAAGACGCCTATAAAGTTGCAAGGTTATGTTATCAATTTAAATACAAAAAAATGCAACAGGCAAATTTCATTAGGGATAATTGCTGCTTAATTGTGACTGAAGGTAGCATCCCTGAAAATCATGTGCATGGGATATGCATATGTCCACTGAATATGTTTTGTAAACATAGCTACATAGTAATATCTATATCCTCTTGCTGTTCAATGCCAGTTTGACTTGAATGAAGTATAATGATAGTAAGGTATGGTTTCTACAGGAATTTGTAGATTTTCTTGGTTTTCCATGGTGGAAAGGGGGATTGTTGGAGTAAAAGGTAGGATTGGTATGACAAAAAGAAGGGAGATGTCAAACGAGTCACAAATTTTGCAAGGAGTCATCTCAGGTCCACCAGACATGCTGATAACCATTAATTTTAAGATTATATTATCAATTCTCAGGGGTTTAATAGATTATTAACAGTTGTCATCTCACCTGGACATTCCTTCTCACCTGTTAAATTATTATTACTGTTATTTTTAGTTGGTGGATTTTTAGTGATTTTGCTGTTTTTAAGTATTCTTTAATTTTTAAATTTCTGTATTTTGACCTGTCAACTGATGCCTAGAGAGTCCCTCGGACTACTGGCAGTGTATACATATAACAATAAAATAATAAAAATGTACTAGAAATCTTTGTATACATAAGTCATGACAACTTCTGATCAAGAATAGCTTCAGGAGGAAATTGTAATACATGTAGACATTTAACTATATTACTGTCATAGGTTTAACATATAATTAATAAAATTACATTTTAAAAAATCCAACATGAATTCCAATTTGATGCTAGTAAATGCTTCTTTTTTTCTCTATGACGCATGTTTGGGTCTGCTAAGGCCAGTAACTTAATATCTGTTGGGTGCATCTTCCAAGAACCCATCTCTAAAAAGCACAAGCCAAAATATTTTTTTGAAAATTATAAAATGTTTGCATACCACTTCACAAGAGATCCGGAAAAACTAACTAGATTGCCCGGGCCATATTACCCAGGCCTCTTAAGTTCATCCTTTTAAGGCCATTTGTTCCGATTTTATGTATTGCAGTATATTGTGGAGCTGGGAATGCACTAGGTCCTTGTGTGAAGGGCTGCTTTTCATGCACCAGAATTCCCTATTAAAAGATTGAGGGCCAACAGGTATCTTCAGTAGAAAAGGGAAATGTAAATTCGCAGTGCCTCAGGTCTTGGCTTCTGTTTTGCTAGAACATCTTCTGCCCCTTGGGATGACAGCAGCAGATTTTCCACAAAGTCTAGGCTACCATTAATTGGGAAGAGCTTTTAACTTATTCTGCATGCTGGGGAGTATATTTCCCACTGTACTGTCAAACTGCTTTTTCAGGTGTGCTGCTGGTGCTTTGTGATCAGAACTGGGCACCTGCTGTATAGGTGAGCCAGAAACCAGATCTTGCAGAAACAAGACGCAAAATATTTCTGACAGGTCAATTAAAAGCCCTATTTCTGTTGTTCAGTCATGTCTGGCAGCCAAAGTGGATCTCTTAATAAGAGACAGCATTGGCTATGGTAACACTGGCTGTATACCAAAGTAAACCCATCTGTCACATGTGTTAGACTCTGCTTTTAAGAAATTTCCTGGTTTTCCTGCTCCCACAATAGCTCTGTTTTTCAGTCTGCTTCCCAGCCAATGAGGACCCACTGGATAGATCAGCTGATGTTTTGAATTTCAGAGTCTTGGTTCCTTCTGATACAATAGTAAGACTTGCCTCATAAGATTATTGCCAGCATAAATCCAATGATAATATGTAGTATAAATAGCTAAATATACTCATAGTTATAAAACAATTGTTTGTAAATAATGCATAACTATTATTTATAAATTACTTGTAACAGGTTAGTAAAATTATAAATAAATAATAAATAACATTAAAATAATTTATAATTTATATTTATTAGTAGTAGTGCTTTGCTTGCCTCATGTCTGATTTGCTGTCTGTTGCTCTAATCATGTCTGACTTCCATTATATAACCTTCTACAGGATCCAGGGTGTAGTTCATCATAGTTCCCAAAACTGTTTACTTAAACTTACTCTGAATAAATGGCCCCTAGTGAAAGGGCCGGCTGCTGCTGTTGAGGCAGGCATGTGTGCTTTATTTTACTCACTTGAGCTAAATAAACAGGTTACTGAAATAAGTGAACCTCATTATTAAAGCCGAAAGGAAGGCATGCTTTGGTGGAATTAAGGCTGACGAGGCAAAAGGCTCAGAGCCGTGGGAGCAACCTGAGGTATTAATCATGCACTAAAACAATAATTGCCATCTCCTATTCCCCTGCACAGGCGGCCAACCCCATGCAACAAAGAGAAATAGTAACTTCAAAGGAACAGCCATTTGTCTTTGGCAAGATGTGTACAGTATCTGCAGCCCTAAAGGCTCAGTGACTTTGGGATCATGGCTGGTGCCGAAGATGGTTCTAAAGGCCTTTCTGAAAGTGGGCCTGAAAGGGTGTGTTGATGATGGCCTTGTTACAAGGCTAGCCATTGCTCCCTTTAACATTTTTAATTCAATATTTCGTATTGTGGAGGAGTTGAATAGCAGGAGGTGCGTAACTTCTGAATGTTTGAAACTCCATCAGAAGCACAAGCAAGGCATAGAGTTTTTGTGTTCATGCATGCGATGTTACTGCTAAATAGTGATGGGTGGAGTCCCGTCCAACTTGGTTTGGAATTAGCTTAGTAATTACTGAGCTTATCTGGTGAGTTTGGAAAACAACCTTTCTTGTTCACAAAGTTATTTCCTGTCTGAGATGTTATTACAGGCATGCTAATGGTATCATGGACATGCATTCCAACACATTCGCACCTGGGAAATGGGGTTCTAGTACTAATTCTGGCAGATGGCTACTTGGTAATTTTATACCCAATTCCAGTTCCAATGCAAAACCAAATAGTTTTAGGAAGGGCTCTGTATATGTATGAAACACAGCAACCACATACTTTCTTTTGGTAAGATCTGATCCAAGGATAGAGAGGAGATCTTCACTAAATACAGGGATCCTAGGTTGGTTGGCCTGCTCATGTAGCTCTCGGCCATCAACAAGAGTTTCAGAGAGAGGAAGATGAAGAACTTAAAGCATTTTGTGCATGTGCCTGCAAGAAGGTGAGGTTGGGTAGCCGGTGTACCCAGTGTTGACCGTGCATGCTTGGAACTTCATTCTGTGCTCTGAGCTGGGGAAGAACTTCACATGGAAAAGGCACTTGCTCTGGAATACATCTGAGCATGATGAGCCACAGAGATTTGCATCCCTGGCCTGGCAATTATGAACTTCTGAACTACCAGTCAAAAGCCATATGCTGCTTGCAGTTGGTGCTTGTGACATTCTCACAACTGTATTCCATGCCAAAATCACAATAGTGATGGGCACCATCTTGGAGAAACAACCAAGATAAGTTCCTGATACTTAAATTTTGGGAATGAAAGAGGTAGTTGTGCTTGGTGTGAGTTTCAAGGTCCTGAAGACTTAGACTCTTTAGATGGAGAGGATGGGACCTGGGAAACTGGAACTCCAGAAATTGAGATGGGAGAAGCGGAGGGGCTTATCTGAAGGCTGCCCCCTCCAGGTGTTCAGGCAGACTCTGAGAAGCAACAGGATCTACAACTGCCGGGAGGGGGCATGGGACAGGAGCTCCAGGAGTCAGACAAGTCTGATGTGACTCTTATCCCCATGACATGACACTGGGAGAGAAAGTACACCAACTACAGGGCTGGCGTACAGATAAGAGGATTGCCTGCCTCTAAAAGGGCCTCGCAGGGGAAGGGGGGCCAGCATTATTCAAAACGAGGATTCTCAGAAGTAGTTGCTAGGTTGGGTTGAATGAATTGCTCTGTGCATGCTAAGAGAGTCATTATGTGGTGATTGTGCTAACTGCATGCACTTTAGAGAATATAGAACTTTTGTCACAGAACTGTCTATAACTCTGAATGTACAAATAGGGAAATCTAGCTTCCAACATTTACTCTGAGTGCGTAGAAGATGCACTATGCCTGCAAAAGGAACATCCCTTTGAGAGATGTATGGATCATGTATGCAATTAATAAAAATGTGGAAATGTGTTAATTAAAAAAACCCCACCATTGGAAAGTCTCTTAATATTTATGCATCCTGGATAGGAATGACACCCAGTGTACCATCTCATTTCTTTTATCACCTCATCATTTTTCTTCTGGCATACACCCACTGAAATCCAGGTTTTTCTCTCCCCTTCCACTTTAGCACTGGACCAATTTGCTGTGCCTGAATAAAATGAGGGATAAGTGCTTTTCAGTAGCTCAGCTGGGCCCAGATATTGCTTTGGTCATGCAAAGATCTCCCTTTTTGCCCACTGTAATCCAAAGTATTTTGCTCAGAGCTGTGTTCTAACAAAATGTTTATTTGCTCAATCTATACAAGACTTCACAAATATAAATAAAAATTTTATCTTTCCCAACTTCTTCAGGTCTGAGCAATCGATTGCCGTACTTCATAAATTATTTCTTTGACACGTATCTGTTGATCAACGAAGACACTCCAGTGGGTGAGTGCATTAAGGTTTGTTTTTAATGAGTAAAATGGCATTTTGCATCCAACTGTCTTGGGGCGGTGGGGAGAAAGTCAGAATGGCAATTCAGCATGTTGATTTAAAGGAACTGCCTATAAAAGGAAAGCAGGTCTCCTCCTAGAGCTTTTAAAATATCACTTTTGTTGCTTTCTGAGTGCTGATACTGCCTCATAAATAGAATGTCTAAGTTCTGATCGACAGAAAATGAGATGAGGTGCAGTATGAAGGTGGTTGTGATAGCCCATGTTAAAAAAAAGGAAAGCCCGGGATGCTAAAACCTGAATGCTAGGATGTATTCACTTACCCCGTTCCATTGTAATTTAGGCTTTCGTATTTTGGAAAGTTTTTATGTCTCATGATAGATGGTGGGGAGTGCCACAACGTGTTAGGGGATCTGTATGTAGTTTTACTAGTTGGCAAAAGGTTTCAGGGTTTGATCAACCAGTGCTGCTTTTATATATTTATTTTGGCAGTGATCAGTTTTAGTAAATGTAGAAATCATTTGGGTCTTTCTTGGCTTCTTTCCAGACTCACAGTCCATTAATGTCCTTCAGTCGGAGCCTGGGAGTGGCTTGTAATATTGCTCGAATTGCTTGTAGGCCCTGTGTGTGCACAAACACAGAGTCTTAAGCTTTCTGTGCCCAAGCTAATAGTTCTGATTTTACCAGGGTCCCAACAGCAGAACCCTCTATTTTCGTGCATGTGTTTCCTCCCATGAATTCATACTTGGGGCACCCCTATGTTCATGCATCTCTAGGGAAAGGAGGTCAGATGAAGATTTTCAAAAATATATAGGATAATTAAGAGATCCTTTAACAAGGAGACTGAACTTGATCTGGTTAGCAGGAATAGATTTGTGTAATTCCAGTAATTCTTAGATCCCTCGAAACAGGCCTGGCACATTATTAGGATTATAAATATTTTGCATTGGCTTGACTTTCTAACATAACAAATCCATGTGGGAGTCCTCTCTTCAAATTCCAGGTGTATATACTGGCCACCTTTCATCTCAGGCATAGAGTCATTGCATTTCCTGTTCTAGAGGAAATGAAGCAAGCACGGCATTTCCGACCTTTCCCTTCAGTCGTCCGATTTGTCTTCCCCACTCTCCTGATATGCTAACCAGGACTATCAACACATAAGGAAGAGGTATTTGACAGGTAGGACTCTGGTCAGCACTGGGCATTTGCACAACTAAAGTCCTGTTGAGTCAGCCTGCCATCAGTCCCCACTGGCGTGTTCGCTGCTAGTTCACACAGTGGGCTATGGCTGATTTATTTTTTTTTAGTTTATTAGATTTTCCTTCTACATAAGCAGCAGAAATCTTTGGTGCAATGTGCAGGCGCAGATTTCATAAATATATGGAGTGAGAGAAGTGAAGTAACAGCCTTTGCCCTGGAGGCCTGTTTCTTCAATCACAGATGTTCTATGGCTGGCTCCTTCCCTTAAAAGTGTTCTGCACATTCTCAAAGGTATTGCTTTTTCAAAAAAGCCCACATATCCAGGAACAAAATGAGAGTAGGCAGGCTTGGCCAGGATATAAGCTATACTGAAGGCTTTCCAGTCTTCTTTCTTCATTGGAAATCCTGTTGCAAGAGAAGCAAGAAACCCCCTTTGGCAAAAATGCAAGGCGGGAAGACAAGGAAATGCCTCCATAGTTCTTTCGGTTCTGTACAGGATAAGTGAAAGCTTCTGAGTTTAAGGGCTTGCAAACATCATGCTAGGAATGCATCCTTGGACTCTTAATTCTCCCACCCCGGAAGCAGGCCTCCTTTTTACCTCTTCACATGCGGAGCTGTATGGTGTCAGTTGGTGGATACAGTATGAAGTCATTGACAAATGGACTGAGCTTCGTTCAAGTGGGATACTGTTTGTGTTGATCTAATGAAGGTTCCAGCCAAACTTCCACAGTGGTCAGAGTTCGGGCACCTTTTGCCCACACTGCCTGAGTGAAGCCACTGGCTCACATCCCTCGGTACTGCCTCTGCCAGGAGTACCCTGGTACCTGCTTAATGGAAAGGGTTGTCCAGCAGGTATATAATTGTGCCCGGCCTTCAAACTGTGTAGACTACAAGAATTTGTGCTGGTTAGAAAAGTCTCCCTCTAGTGGCTGCAAACTTTAAACACGTGGACACCTTAAAACTAATTAGCGCCTTTTAAAAATGAAAATGACCCCAAAGTACAAGTTCTTAGAGTACCCTTCTCATACATGTGTCCAGGTTTCATGGCATTGTGACAGGGAAAGTTGGATGGGCAGATTTCCATCCTCTTTTATTACAGGTAAGTTACATGTGTGGGTGAGTTATCACAGATGCTATTTTAATTTAACTCACTTTGTCTCCTTTACAGAGGAGTCAGGTACATACATAGGTGATGAAGGTGAACCAGGTCACAGTAAGAACCATGCAGGCACCCGAAAGTTAATGAAACAAACAACACAGTATTTTACACCCATCCTTTAAATGGGCTAACACAGCTTTAATGAAGCTGGTGCCTTCCAGATATTCTGGACTGCAACTCCTGGCATTCCTAGATATTGGCCATGCTGGCTGTGGCTGGTGGAAGTTGAACTCCAAAACTTTTGGAAGGCACCAGGTTGGGAAGACTGCCCTAAAGTCCTTTGATGTGGTTAAGGATTCTGATTTTGAACAGGGCTGATATCTCCTAAGTACCGTAAATTAGTTCTGTGAGCTAATAAGACAGCAGCATCAATCCTTTCAAATTTTTTTTCCCTCTGACTCATGATTTCTGTTGTGTCCTCAGCTGGCTAATGAGCACTAAGAAAAGTATCAGGCGGTGGCAGCAATGGAATGAGATGGAATGCTTTGCAATATTTTCCTCTCTTGCAAACTGTGCATTCCCTTCTTTGGTGATTTTTCAGGAAGCTTTTTGCCATTTCCCCCCCACTGGGCACAGGGGAGAAGCTCTGCCATTCCAGCACACGATCCGCTAACTGGTATTCAGAGGGTAGCAGAATGAGTCCTTTTCACAGCCTCAATCAAGGGCAAATTGGTCACCATGCTTTTGAATAGACCTTCTTTGTAGTGTGATGACATTATGCACAGCAAGTCACCTCTGGTACTGAGGGAAAAATTTAGACACTACTACCCTCACTCCGAATTTGCCTTCTTGGTGCACAACTATATCCATATTTAGTAAACTCTGGATGGCTGTATGATGATGTCATGCTATTGGGGAATAGGGTTATTTCTCAAACAAAAACTCATCAGGGGAAATGCAAAGTGCATTATCCCAGTTTAGGAAAGGAAACTAACCCTTGGGGAAACATCTTGTTGCCCTTGGACAGTTCTGCTTTTATGCATGTGTGCTGGATATCAAGCCCTGCTGGTGTCACTTGGTCACCCTTAGCTTGCTCCCATCTTCTGTGACTCATTTATATTAATAAAACAATTTTCTTTCTTCCCACCCTCCCTCCAACGAATTCCCCCCTGCAGTTTCTACCTGGCTTGGATTTTACTGCCTCCTTCTTCCTTCATGTGATACCTAAAGGAGTGTTAAGCAACAATTAAAGAGATAATTCCCTCTCTAATCACTTACATGAGTAAATTAGTCTTGTCAGGAGCTATTAAGACAGAGAGCTTAGAATTCATTAGGCTAGATTGGGCCTATGGAGCTTTTGGCATTGCTGCTAGTCCAGGCTGATTAATTTCCTTGAAAACACCATCAATGCCCATCTGTTTCATTTAGATCTTTGGAGAGCAATTTTCAGGTGGACTGACCCCCTCGTCAGTTATTTCACCCAGAAGTAATGACTGACATACACAACCTACTGCAGTGTGAAGAGTAAACTGTGTATATAAAAGTAAAATATTCATATACACTTCCTCTCAAGGCCTGTAGCTGAAATTCGGCTGGGGTTTTGAAACTGATCAGAGGAAGTTCTAGTGCTGTTTTCTCCTCTAAAGTTTATGTCTCTATGAAGATCTTGCCATTTTCTGCCAGTTTTCCAGGCTCCTACAGCTGTATTCCAGTCTCCTCTCTCTAATGGGATTGGCATGGCAAATCTTTGAGTAAGCTTAGCTGGTAACCTTGTGGTCCATTCCTCGGTTCTGCTCTCCAAGGCAATGCACAAAATATGTGCGTGTCTTCACAACACGGTTCCCTATTACTACCATTCATAAGAAAACACCATCTTCTGAGGAGTGGCATGAGTGACCCTGGGAGTTCAAAAGGAGGAGCCCATTGAGGTTTTTAAGACAGAGAAACAACTACTTCCAGTTTCTCTTAAAGCTTTGTACAACAAGATTTCCCTTTTCTCATCTGGGTTATTGTCTGGCTAAGTGTTGTGGTTGGGAATGAGACAAGACTGAGGAAGCCTGCTTTAAGATATCAAAGCCAGGCTGGTGCAGTAGGCAGGTTTTATATAATACTGAAATGTAAATGGGAAGGTCTATAATGTTCTGTTGATCAGATAAAGACCAGGGACTTGCTGATTGTACCAGATCTGGACAATACAAGAAGATGCAGTTGCTTGCCAGTGGGCAGATGTTTCTCAGCCCTATTTCCTTCTAGGATAGAAGACGACCCTAAGACCTGATGGCAAGCCCTGGAGACCTCGCTAGTCTGGATTGTAGTGTCTGTATGAAGTTCCTGCTTTGAGATCTAGAGATTTCAGAGATAGTTGTTTTCAGTTTATTTTTGGATGACATAAGGGTAGATACACTGTTACGTGTGCATGCATAAGGTTTGTGTGTAAGAATGTTATTGAAATAGAAAGATATGATTGGGTTTAAACTGTTTCACCTAATTAATGCAAGTGAAAACCTTGCTTGTGTTGATCATTTTTTGCTTGATATTAAATTGTTCTAACTGGGGTCATTCAAATTATAGGAGTTCCAGAACTGTGATTTTAGGGTGCCTATTCAGTGTATCTTACTGGATGGGGTTTACTAGTTTCACAAAACCTAGGTTGATACAGTTGGTTATTGGCAAAGTCATAGGGTCCGGATGAGATT